GAAGTGATTATAAGTTTTTCAGTAATCTTTACATTTTCTAAAAATTAATCATTTAATGTTGCTTAACGTAAAGAAACCTATGTAAAAGTTTTTTGATCATGAACTTCAATGCCCATTCCAAACCAATTCACATTATGGTGTTCAGTAGTTTTTTAACGTTTCTTTAACGCTTCTATCTCTTCACAATTATTACTACAGCTTTCCAGTAAACGTAACTCAATCAATCTTTCAAAAACAATCATAAATGATCTCACAGTGTGAATCACTGTCTTCATGACTATTTCCAGCAGCTTTTAATCGAGCCCACTCATGGCTATATCTTTTTGGCTAACTCTCTTGAAAGATCAGGGCACAAAGTACAATTCCCCTCTCACATCTTTTGCAATACAATGCTTCGTTTTCCACTTGTAACTTGTAACCATAACTAACAGTTACTCATTGTTGCAAGCCAGTCTCCCTCTCTCACACACACACAGACACACACACATGTACCAACATATAGTATATCCACAAGACGCATTATTTATGCATACACTTCTTTTATATCCGACACAGTTAATGTGTAACAATTCACCACATCGCCATCGTAAGAGTCGGCGTCGGCAACGTTGTTGGCTGCAATTGCGCCGCTCTAGAAACGCCGTCACTGCTGACCTAGTTTACACATAAATTAGCGCAAACTATAGTCGGACAACTTTTATATCTTGTAGATGCATGTACGAGCACTCGTATGTGTACATAGAACGTGCATTTATTAAATACACATACTCGTAGATATCAACTCTATGTGTAGAGATAGAAACGAACGCATCTGGTTAAAGTTAAGCTCACACGCATTCGCCACAGCAAACAGCATCGGTTTCGTAGATCGCTCTCATGGTACAGTAGTATCTCTACAATCAGAACAAATAAGCGCACAGTATAATATGAGATAAAATTCGATGAGAAGAAAAACGGAAATTATAATATAGTAATTCGATTTTTTACGAAATATTGCAATTTTTATTCTTAAAAGAATTTTTGATTAATTTAAAAACATTTTTTTATAAGATTTAATACATTTATTATTATAAACCAATTTTTTTATATTTATAAAATATAATTTGTCATATTTTTAAAATACTTTTTACATATAAATTTGTTTTAATATGTCTCTTCTTTTAAATACTTTCATATAATAAAAATTTTTACTAAAGGCTGTATCCGTAAATACACAACAGCATGACAATACGATTGGTTGTATGTCCTTCCGCGTGTCTGTCTGTATGAACGCAAAGATCTCACAAAGTTTAGAAGCTAGAATAAACAAACTTGGTAACCAGATGCTCAGTTAGGTCTTAACTTCGATCAAATAGAAAACAAAATTAATTGGAGAACAACAAATTAGTAATCTTAAAAGAAGACTAAAATTTCGACAAAATTTGTAACTCCTAACAAACGAGATTATACTGTACTTACACACAAGTCAGTTAATTGAAGCTTTCGGTTTCTTAGCTAGTGTTGTTCCTGTTGTTGTTGTTGCTGCTGCTGCTTTTAGAGCCGGTGTAGCTGTGATTGCAGTACCCATCCAGATACAATTGGGTCAGCGGCTGTGCCGAGTGAGCGACATAAAAAGTAAAAACCCATCATTAAAAAGTCATTAGCTATTGTTTAATATTAAGTTATTTCATAGCAATAATTAGTCTGCGTTGCTTTAAGCGATTGAAACGCTTAAACAACCAACAACCAACAATGCAACAACTGCAACATCATTATATAGATACTCGTATACCCAGGCAGACATGGACAATGCTGTTTAATTGATTGGAGAAAGTGACGTACACGGCTGCTTGTGCCCGTTGGCTTGACCGGTCGGTCCGTTGTTGTTCGATTGCCGCTCCATTCGATTGCCTGGGAAAATGTCTTCATAATGCCGGGTGCCAAAGTGCATAGGCAACCAAATCAACTGTAATCGCAGCAGCAGCAACAACAACAACACTGGTAACTGGTTGTTGTTTCGATTGGGTCTGCTTTTCTTGTTGCTGTTGTTGGAGGCTAATCAAGCGCGCATATGCACGTGAAGTTGAGATAAGATACATATTCAATACAATCTCCCGATATAACTGCAATGATTGTAACGCCAAGCATTTGCCTAAAAGTAGAAACAGAGTATGCCGACTTTGATGTGCAACTAGCGACGGAAGTGAATATTAAGAGGTTGTATCATACTATATGTAAGGAAACACAAGAATCGGATCAATGCAGCTTGGCAGTTTATTTATTTATTTCCAAATTAATGATAGAATCAATTAAATTAATCACCTTTTAAATATCGTTGATCATTTTATTTTGATTATTCCTGCAAGTACTCTAAATATTTAAAGCTTAGGACACAAACTAGAAATAAGAAATCAAAATCTATAACTGTTTCAAACCTTAAAATGGGAAATTGTTTACAATTTGTAAATCTTTCTAAAAATTAACAAAAAGTAAGCACAGCTTTTTTTAAATTGTACTAAAATTCCCAACCCAATTATATTCTTAAACTTCCCAAATCTTGTCAAAGAGTCGCATTTAAAGTACAGTTTGTTAATAAAGTATGTATGCGTAGAAAAAAGTATCCTATCATAGAGTAAAACAATGTAGATTTATAGGAATTGTACAGTGCCTTTGTGCCTTTTTTGGAGTCAAACTTTTATTTTATACGAATATAAGGCGCCAAAACGTAATGAGGCTTTAAATATTATTTACGTACTACCCCAGTTTGTAGTATTATTTAACAATAATATTTTCTATCAGATGAGCTCTTACTATGTTTCGTTGTGGATATACGTGCTGTTAAAATTACTAATTCAAGTAATCAAGTTATGTTAATTTCTAACAATGTTATGTATAAAGTTAGGTTAAGTAGAGATTGCTTCTTAGGCCTAAACAGGCCATTTGTGATGGGCATTATACAAGTACATTAGCTTCTTGTAGAGAAAATTAAAATATATTGCTCGATAATAAATTGCTTCATTACTGACTGTATTAAAAAGTGTTTATTAGTTGCTTTAATTATTGCTGTACTAAACTAAAAGACTATATACATTGTACTCTTCAAAGTATTCATTAAATATTATCATATTCTTTATACATTTTCCCATATCGTGTTTCGCTTAAAGCCTGATTAATATTGCCCGTGACTGTCACAAAGCTGGCATGGAAAATAAAGTCGGATTATATGTTCGTTACTGTTAATTGGCCTTTTGTTGTTATCCCTACGTAATTAATATTTTTCTATGCAATTGGAAATCAATTTTCATGGAATTCATTTACTTTCTGTTCCCATATTTATTAGGCTTCTTAAAGCTCAGCTAAAATCGTTCGTCGTTATCATAAAGTTCAGAATGCAAATCTAGATTGCCTATAATGAGTCTTTTCTAAGCCTCTTATTGTGATTGTCATTTGAATGTTAAGCAATTTTCATTTGGTAATCATATCCGTAAATTTCAACTAAATCGTTCGTTGTTTTCATAAAGTTAGCAATGCAAGAACAGGTAACATATAAGTAATTTTCGGTTTAAGGCTAACAACAACCTACTCCCCTCAGACATTTAGGATTATTGCCAATTACATCTATGAACATAATTATAATTATCTTATTATTATATTATAATATTATTGAGCATAACTATAATTTTCAGAGTAAGGCTAACAACAACCTACTCCCCAAGGTTGATTGAAATCTTACATAAAGTTCACAATGCAAGATTAGGTAGCCTCTGACATTAAGGATTATTGCCAATTTATTAAAATCGTTCGCCGTTTTTATGAAGTTGAAAATACATAATTCTGTACTTGATTGAATCTCTTTATCAGTTTTGTATATTTTATTGTGTACTTTTTAATTGATAAACCGTAGATCATGAACTTGATTCAATCTCTTTATCAGTTTTGTATATTTTATTGTGTATTTTTGGATTCACAAATCTTGGTCCCAAAATCGTTCGACGTTTTCATAAAGTTGACAATAAAAATAGAGCCTTTTATCTATAAGCCTAAACTCAGACCTCTAAGAAAATTATAATCAAAATTGTCAATCATTTTCATAGGTGTTTAAAGGTTTGTTTTAAATAATCATGATCAACAGTAAAAGTATTTTATATCATAGTGTATACAGCTGCCAGCTTACAGGGACAGGTTTTTGTTTTCTGGTTATCTTGACCCCACAGCGTCCATTGCCTCCGTATGTTTTTACCAAATTGTTTTTACCGATCTTTTTATATGCGTTTTGTCATTGGTTTTTATGAGTTGCATTTTGGAACCGTTAACACTAGCATTTTTAATAGTTGTGCTGCGGATCGGCGGGCTTGAGTTGCGGCTGCATTTGATGAACGGGTCGCAGTCATGGCCAAAACCTGTTTCCGTCTCGCTCCGCAGTTGTGCCTCGACAGCGCCGATCGGTGCTCGGACACGAGACCGAGACGTCTGTCTCGTTTAGTTTATGAAAGTCTAAGCGTAGCCAGCACGGCGCATTGCATTGCATTTCGTGCCGCATTATTTTAAAAGAACAACCGCTAGGCATCATCAACATCTGCATAAATCCAAGAGCAGTTGACTGGCTGGCTGGCTGCTTGGCTGATTTATTCGGCCGACTGACTAGCTTCGGCCGTTAGTTCGTACGACATTGAGTCGAATTGAATTTTATAAAGATGTATATCGATGGGATATACGAGTGTGGTAGATATGTGCTGGCAAGTTGACCATTTGCCACTTCCTTAAGCCATTGTCGTCGCCGTCATCATCATCATCGCCTGAGCCACTGACCCTATTCAATGCTCAGTTATTCGTAGACTTGTGATGCCAAATAAAGGCAAGCGGTTGTTGCTCGAAAGTAGAACGAACAGCAACAACAATGCTGGTAGTCTGGATAATTGATAATAATAAAAAAAAAAAACGTGCGTGGAAAGTAAACGCGCTACACTGCAAGAAACACTATTTAACTAACGCACCCAATTTTTGTTCTCCCTCACTTGCAGATGCAGTTCCAGTTGGCAGCGTAAAGTAACGCCCCACCCATGATGTCCGAAAAGGTTAGCTCGGCCTTGGTCAGCCAAATGCATTCGCATGTGCTGATGACTGGCGATGCGCCCTGCCATGGTCCAACCTTGGCGAACAGTGGCTCCTCCGCTACCACCAAGGATGTGCCGATCTTGCCACCGACATCGCTTGAGGCAGACGCGTCGACATCTGCCGCTGTTGGCGCTCAGCTCAATTTCAAAATAATGCCCCTCGAGAGCAGCAGCTTTCAGGAAGTCTTTGCGGCCATGAACACATCACAAATCTCCAATGCCTCCACAGAATCCAGCTGCAGTCCTCCAACGATGACAGCGCCACCCAAACCCAGTCGACACATGGCTGTGCAGTCGCTGAATAGCGTAAGCAGAGAAATCCTTGAATCAAAAGCTCTTCAGAGCAGTCTAGCATTTTGAGAATTTCTAACTACAGGGCATTAGATCCAAAGCAACAGGAATCCTTACGATTATGAGAACATATTTTATCCAAAATAATTGAATAGACCTTTATTACCATTATTATTTTTACTAGAATTTTGTCGTCTATGTAACAAAGATCTATTTCCTTCTTTTGCGACGCATCCTAAGAAGTCCTATTTAAAATGAAAATACATCATAAAATGGCAATTGTCAAAGATTCGTTATTCAATAGATACTGTCGATTCTGTGGTATCTAAATTTTATTGTCAATAAGGTGCGTTTTACAAAGATGTTCTTAGAACGAGTATAAATGATGAAACGATGCGGCCATTCGTTCGACTGTATGAACAGCCAGTACAAATGAACCATACGAGCTAGAGACCGCAAACTTGGTTTGAAAATGTGTCTCTTTAATATGCATGTCAAGTTTATTACAAATCATAAGTAGCCGCATTATATCATATAGCTACTATAGGAACTATAGACGTCACTCATAGACTTCATAGACATTTTAGTTGCGATACTTTTTGCAGGTGAATCGATTGGAAATTAAGTACAGTTAAGATCTTAATTTGAGAGCTTTTGTTTACGATTTTGCAAAATCTTTTGTACTTTTATCTTCCCAACAAGCTTACTCATTATAACTTACTCCACAGAAATCCTGTCGCTTTCCCAAGCTGGAGGAATGCGCACATTTTCATTACGAACGCGTACAATTGGGCCCGCTGTCTGTGCAGCTGAGCGACGATAAATCGGAGCAGATGGGCAGTAGCATTGCCTCGCAATCGATTATCGGAGACCTGGCGCAGCACAATTCGCTCCGCAGCTTCTCGCCGGACAGCTGTTGGTTCATCATACGAGTCTGTCCACATCGGCACGAGCCTTTTCTGATTAAGCGCAGCTTCGAGAACATGCAAATGTTCGATGAGATGCTGCATCGTTGTGTCTACGATCGCAAGATCAGTGGACTGCGAAACATGCAGGAGCTGGAGCTGCAGACCGAACAGGATGTGGAGTATGCAGTGGCCAAGTATCTTGAGCGCTTCTCGAAAATTGCTTCAGACTCGCTCACCTGTGGCACCATACTTACTTGGCTGCAGTTGGACAACAAGGGTCGGCGACTGCCTTTGGCCGATGGTGAGACACAACGTACGATTAATACGCCCGCAGTGGGTGCTGCGTATGGCGTGCGACGCTACCAGGCGCAGGCTCCGGATGAGATAAATATCGAGGTGGGAGATATGATATCCGTTATTGATATGCCCAGTCCGGCGGAGTCGATTTGGTGGCGTGGCAAAAAGTCACATCTGCAAAAATCAATCTACGAGGTCGGATTCTTTCCGCAATCGTGTGTGGCCACCATTGGCGACAAGGTGCCGCGTAATTTTCCCATGCCGGCACCGCTGGTTGGCCATTTAGATGCCTCACCCACGAAGCCAGTGCTGCGCAAACATGGCAAGTTAATTGCCTTCTTTCGCTCCTTCATTTTGTCGCGTCCCTCAAGACGACGCCTCAAACAGAGCGGCATTTATCGCGAGCGTGTGTTCTCCTGCGATCTTTCGGAACATTTACTGAATAGTGGCCAGGACATACCGATGGTATTGCGCTCCTGCGCTGAGTTTATTGAGAACTATGGCGTCATTGACGGCATTTACAGACTCTCGGGCATTACCTCCAATATACAGCGGTTGCGACGCGCCTTCGATGAGGAGCGTGTGCCGGACTTGGGTAATCCCGAAATGAAGCAGGACATACATGCTGTCAGCTCGCTGCTGAAAATGTATTTCCGAGAGCTACCCAATCCGCTCTGCACGTACCAGCTGTACGATAACTTTGTGGAGGCTATACAAGTGAAGGCTGATGAGCCGCAAGAGCGGTTGCGCTTGATGAAGGAGACGGTACTGAAGCTACCGCCCCCGCATTACCGGTAAGTGGAGGTTTAACCTTTCTGTTGGAAATATTATCTCAATTCTCTCTCTCTCTCTCTCTTTCTCTTTTCATAGCACCCTTAAATATTTGTCGGAGCACCTGCACAAGGTCTCACAGCACCATGAGCGCACTGGCATGACTGACAAGAATCTGGCCATAGTCTGGGCACCAAATTTGCTGCGTTCGCCGGCTCTAGAGTCTGGGGGTGTGGCTGCGCTGCGTGGCGTCGGCGTGCAAGCGGTGGTCACCGAGTACCTGATACGCAATTGCCATAACATATTCGATGCACTGGAAGATCAGAATGCACGATTGAGCTATGTGGGCAATGCCAACACCGCCGCGCATGCTGAGCTACGCTTGGAGTCCCTGACTGACTGTGAGAGTTTGTTGGTGGAACAACGCGAACAGGACCAATCACTGCAGGTGGTTGAGCGTCCAAAGAGCTTGAGCACCGGTGGTGCTGCTAAGCTAATTAGCTTAGAGGAGGCTCAGGAGCGGCACTCGCGCATCGAGGGAGGCACTGATATGAAACAATCCTTGCCTATTAACATGGTAACCAGCAATGCAGCCACAAATATGGGCTCCTACATTGAGGTAGGCGGTGGTCCCTCAAGCCTGCCGGATAAGTATCATACGGTGTTGTCAGTGCCACGCAGTTGGCAAAAAAGGAAGCCTGACAAGACAACCTCCTGGAAGTCCATCTTCACGCGCAGTCAGCGACAGGGCAGCGAGATGCACAAAAGCGCTCCACAGGCTCAAGCAGACAAGGAGGCTGCCTCGTCCCGTGTTACCTTTGTGGACGCCTCACATGTGCTGGCTAATAAGGAGCTCGCACAGCATGAGAAACCCAAGTCCATTGAGCTGCTGGAGACCACACGTGATTCACTAAATAGTAAACCCCTAGAGCTATGCATACGCTCCAGCTCCATTGATAGTCTTCGCACCGTTGGACACTCCCGATCAGTGTCCCATGATTCCTATTTCGATTTGCTGCAGTCTCCGCAGCGCGGACACATGACCACCTGCCCCTCGCGAGAACTCTCCGAACTGGGTCTCAATTTCGATCGCGAGGAGCCGGAAATGCGCATTTTCTCCGAGAGCGAGTCTCTGGTCAGCTCGCCCCGTGTGGGCAAAGAGAACGTGCCGCCGTCTGCCTCGTCTAGCGGATGTGCCACACGTCGCATAATGCGCGCTCGCCCCGAGGAGTTCTCCAGTCAGACGAATAGCGTCAATCCCAGCCCAAAGAAACAGCCACGTCTCAATCTGTTGTCGCCCAGTTCGGCACGCATGCGCGCCACTACAGAGCCCACAATGCAAACACAGCCTTGCGGTCATGAAGCTGCAAGCTCGGAAAACTGCTGCAAGCGCTACAAGCTGGAGGATCAGCTCTCGGACATACAGTTCATAGATTGCGGTACGCCGGAGCATGCGCAGGCGCAGCAACAACCGCAGCAACTATTTGCCAGCGTGGAGGTACATCCACCGCCAAAGCCAGCCCGAGCGATGCAGCCACCGCCGGAGCTCACATCACCTGCAGCAGCACGTTATAGTTATCCTTCGGTGCAGCTGGGCGCCAAGCGCAAGGAGCAGCAGGCGGCCAAGGAACGCTTTAGCTATCAAGGCACCTTCATGCAGCAGCCATCCATTAAGTTGGCACCCGTCGAGCAGCCACAGCAACCAACAGGCAGACCTGTGCAGTAAGTAAACCAAACACATAAACTATAAACGAAGGGTGTATAAAAATAAATGAAAGTGTACCCGCTGATTATCTTAATGAGATAACTCAATATATTCATGTCCATCTGTTCATTTGCTCGTACACCCCTCTGTCTGTCTGTAAGACCATCAATATCTTTGAAACCCTGACAATAAGTGGGACTTAATTCTGTATGTAGATTTGTCTCATCAATATGCATAACAAGTTCTTTACTAAGCTCATGCAACTGGGAAAAGAACGATTAATGTTAAAGCCACTTTATATACTAATTTTCTTATTATTCCATCTATTCACAGCAATGGAAGCGTACAGCGTCCCAAGCCGCGTCAGCAAGTTGTCGAGCTGGCTGATGAGGATAGCCTGGTGAAGCTATCGGTACCCACACCTACTACACCAGCACATAGTCCTCGCTACTCGCTGCTGTTGTGCGAAACGGAAAGCTCGGAGAATAGCTCGGCGGTCAATACACCGCAGTACGATCTGGAGCCCCTGATGCTGAACTCTGCCATGTCGGGCGTGTCAGGCGTCTCCTCGAACATGCAACAGCAGCTGTTGCTGGGTGTGGATGCAGCCAGCAGTTATCTGGGTAGCTCGCACGAGAGTCTGGGACAGCACGTAAGTATACTTCTTTGGTTTGAGGCTGAGTTTTCTCATTTATATGTGCTTTTTGCATTTTGCAGTTCAATCAGAACGAGTTGGAGCGTCGCGATATGCATGCTTTGAAGCGCGAGTTATCTCTGGACTTACAGACGCTGCATTCGCGCTCGCCACAGGCTCCCAATCGAGCCGCCACATTGCCTGTGAAGGAGCAACTGCAGGCTGCGGCCGCAGTTGCGGCAATGAGCTCCCCAAACAACTCCAACTTCACGGACAACACTAGTCAGTCGGTTACGCCGAGCGAGTTCGGCTATCAGCATCTACAGCGTCAGCTTAGTATGCGGTCGCTGCTCGAGACAGAGGAGAGTTCTCCTGTCTATGAGGACTATGAACATACGCCAAGCAATGCGATTACACCACAAAAGCTGGCAAGTCCGATCAAGTCGACAATTAGCATTACCTACAAATCGCCGGAGAAGGAGAAGCCGAAGGCACTGCTGGAGACAAATTTCGATGAGAATATCGTGTACGAGCAGGTTAAACTCTTTCGCAATTCAGTCACGGAGGTAAATCAGATGCTCACTGAACAGCCACAGACAGTGGGCAGTAATCGGCATAGTTTGAAGCAAATTGAAGAGGAGGATGGTGGTGCTAGCAAGGCGGCTGAAATGGCGCAGCAATTGCTACGATTGAGTGGCAACAGCGACAATATGGAGCAGCTGCTCTATGAGAACATTGAGCTTCGAAAGCCGAAAACGGTTTACGAGAATCTACGGGGCGAGGAAATGAAACTCAATGTTAATATTAAACTCGATAATTATACGAACGACACAGATACTAAGCCGAGTGATAGAATTGAACTGGACAGTTTAGAGAGCCTGAAACAAGACACAGAACAATCAGACATGGAATACAATCAGGAGTATTTAATGGCCGCACCCGGCTCCGCACGAAAATCACCTTCATTTAGCGTTAAAGAGCTGGCTACCAAGTTTGAAAGTTCCCCCGTGGAACAGCTGCCCAATTTTGATTTTAGCCTGCGAGGTGGCTCAATGAAGAAACCAAATGAGCTCAGCCTACCTCCACCACCAGCTCAAGCAGCGCCGCTGCCAGCACCGAAGCCCGTGGCGCTGAAAAAGCTAAATAATACGCAAAAGATAACACGCTCGCTGGATGAGAACGCTTTTGTGCGCGAATTTGGCGGCAAACAGCTGCAAGATATGGCTAAATTGCCGGAATTACCGGAGCTAAACAATCGACGCAAAAGCTTTGATTTTACGCGACCCAAAACACTGAATCCCCCCAAGCGATTGCCGGGCATGAGCATCACAGAAGAGATTTGTATGAAGCCGCCGCCAAAGTTGCCGGAACAGATCACGCCCACCACAGAGAATCGCATCTCCCTCATACAGCAGAATAATGTGCCCAAAGAACAGACACACTCCAATGCCACGCAATCGCTCAATGTGCCCGGACGCAAGAGTGTGCTAACAGGCGTTAAATTGGATCGCGAACGCATTGACAAGATCAAGGAGGAGCGGCGCCAACAGCTAACACAAAAATACTATGGAGATTCGCTTAAGTCGCGCTCCAAAACGGAGCTCAACTCCACCTGCAAGGAGGACGACAACAACTTTCAGACCACGGAATCGCTGCGCATCAAATCGAAATCGCGTGGAGATATGCATGCGTTGCAAAAGGACATGGACATGAATCTGAAGCAGCTGGCGCGTGCGGCTGGCTCGGAGAGCACGCTGAACACCACCGGTGGCAGTGCTGGTGGTATTGGAGTTGGAATCGGTGGTGTTGCCGTAACCACTGACTATGCTACGCAGCGTGTCCGCAGCATTTCGGATGAGAAGAATCAAAATTGTGATACCAACAATGGCGTGGCTAGCAGCTTGCAGAGTGTTAAGACAACGGCCCAGAAATATGCCGCAAATAAAACTGTGGCGCCCAAATTTGAGCGCAAATCCATAGACTTTGCGGGCGGCATAACGCGCGATCGTGCCAACAGAGTCAGCGAAAGCAATGTGAGCGCAAAGTAAGTAACTTTCTGAAGTTAGAGTGCCGTGCAAATTCTCAATAATATATATTTATTTCTATTTGCAGCAACAGAGAAAAGATCTCACCACAATTCTCAATTCGGGACATGACCGCTATGTTCGAATCTCGTTCACAAAATCAATAGGCTTAGGCAGACATCGAATGCTACACTCACTCATATACACACATACACACACACACACAGACATACACACAAAGCTGAAATGGACTTTGCGAATTATAAGATTAAATAATTTATTTTGTTTTTTAGCTTACTTATAAGCACGTTACATCCATACATACCTATACTACATACATACATACATGAATATACATAGCTATATATTGCAAAGGCTCCAAAGACACATGAAACACTCACAACACAGACATAGGCAGAGACACGCCCTCGCTTTGGCATGCCTTCTTAAAAAATGCAAAATTTAATTTTGTTTTACATTAGCTGTAATGGACAACAAAAATATTTAAACAATAACAGAAAAAAGACCGCCTCATATTGCATATTTTGAATGCGAGTTTGATGCCCACAGACATTAAATTTAAGTTTCATTGAATTAAACAAAATTTAGTTTTTGGTTTGTTATAAAAAAAAAAAAACAAGAAGATAAAGAATGTTTTTAAATTCGAATTAGACGTATGATGTGATTTGTTCTCGAATGTTTTGTTTGATTGCTACAAAATTTCAAATGTATGTTTAAGTTTTAAGTGAAGCGCTCATGTTGATGATGATTTGTTAACACATATTTCACATTTGTGCATTTTTATTGATTATTATTATTATTATACGATTAATTTATATTTGTAAACGAAATAAATTTACTGCATTTTCATTGACTTTTTTTATAAACTTAACACGAAATACAACACTTGTAAATACTCTGCGCTTGCGTTTATTAATTCCAATTCTAATGCTTTACGCTTGAAAATTCAAAATGCGTTTAAAACTTAAAAACGGGAAGAGGTGTGGAAAAATGCTATACATTTTTTACTAAGCAGTTCAAAAGAATGCGGAGATTGCTTAACAAATTTAATGAGCTAAGGACTATGCTGTAATAAGAAGCTTACAAAAAACTGAGGAATAATTTTAAAAATGTTTACCTATACTATAGAGAATTTGTATAACTTACATCCGCAAGGCGAAACGCTGTAATAGAAAGCCCAAGCGCCAAATGTATGAGACAGGCAGTATGAGATGAGGCCGATGTCAGCAAGATAATGACATTCGATATAGAACTTATCGTCCGTTCGTTTGTTCGTCTGTATGAACACCAATAAACTCAGAACCCATACTGCTAGGGACACGAACATTGGTATGTAGGCTTGTCTTATCCATGCGCACAGCAAGTTCATCACTAAACATATATAGGCGCAATATTTTATATAGCTGCTATAGGAACGATCAGTGCAGAAATCAATCTTAGTACCAAGAACTTGTTTGTTATTCAGAATATTGTAACCAAAATCTGAAGTAATATCGAAATCAGTTTACCATATCTTATATGATATAGCTGCCACAGAAAGGGCCGCTGTGGAAATCAATCCGAATACTAACAACTATTTTGTTGGTTTAGGTATCTTAACCAAATTTGGTAATTATTAATTTCTTAAATGCCTTAAATGTCTCAAATTCAGAAGTTTTAGCAAAGTCAGCGGACTATAGTATTTCGAATAGCTTTCATAGGTATGATTGCAGGCACGTTCGGATTTTTCAATATTGTTATATGTACTGAAATTGTATACACATATAGACAAAATAATACAGTATTTAAAAATCTATTAAATAATTACTATTCGAAGAAATATTCGGTGAGCATAAATGGCAATGAAATTAGTGGTCATGAAATTACTATGTTTCCTTATTTCTTATTATAAACAACATTCAACAAGTAATCCGAATAACTAGCCCTACTTGGTATGCCTTTTGTTTATCCTTCCTGGTATTCCGGAAATAGGTTCTAAGGAGTACCCTTAGCCAAGTCTCTCCAGAGATGTATTCAACTTTGCTACCTGGAACTAATTCATCAGTTTTTTTCCTGATAAAGCACCATATTCATGGTAAGACTCTATATTAAAATAAAAGTCCAATATCGCCAAGAAATATATGTACGAGTATATGTAGACTTTTTCAAACTAAAAGTTGATTCAAAGTAATATAGGGGTTTCAACTGCTTCCTGTGTTAATGAAATTTCTGCATTTACGTGTAAAGTCTTCAATTAAACTAAATAACACATATACTATATACAAAAACATTATTTATAATTCTAAAGACTACATTAACTAAAGCACCGTAGTTGCCAATACAAAATTGCTAGAAAATTATGTGTACGAGAGATGAGAACTATTTTTAATGAATATACGGATATGTTTGAAAAATTCTATAATATATTTAAGCATACTTGTATTTCAAGAATCGGTTTGTTAAGCAATCTACGCAACGCTAAAAACTTTTGCTATAAATAATTATACTAAAGACCAATGCAGCACACTAACAACTAAAAAAACTACTTACTAAACAAAAATGGAATTTCAATTGTGGTTAGTGTTTAAGCTATTATACTACTAGATAAATTCATGTTAAACAAATTCAACATAAAGCCATTTATATAACATTTCTAATTTACTCTCAGAGCAGCTGCCAAATTTTATTGAAAGCATTAAGAAAATTGTTAAATAAACGCAATGGGATGATAACAAACAGAATTGTAATGCAAACAATAACTAAATAGAAAGCTTTAAACATAAGTTAGCATTTGATATATTTTGATAAAATGGAAACTAATGGCAAGAATGAACCACAACTTAGTTATAAACAATTCTATTGTATAATGACTGAGCAATCGCTAAAAAAAAGTAAAACAAACAAACAAAAACTGACGATGGCTTACAAAATGATTTAAAACAATTTTTGCATATACATACATATATATTTATTATACATACGTATTAAATATATATAAAAACTAAAAAAGGACATACATATTTATATATACATATATATATATCTAGAGAAAGAGAGAGAGAGAGAGAGAGAAAGCAAAGTTTACGTCACAACAATTCGAGGGACAGGCTACAATCAAAAAGACAAACTTGGAAAACTTGGAACAGTGTAAACAGCTTTAGGCGAATCGCGGATAAAGCCTTCAGATTCCGATTTATCTACATAATATAGTACATATAGTACATCAACTTTTTGCATAAACATTTTTTATAAGCAGCATAAAACAAACAAACAATAACAATAATAACAAACAGAGTAATAATAAAACAAACTAATTTAACGCGTATATGAAAAATTAAATCACAACATGAAAAGGGTTTGATCTTTTGTTCGGGGTCGGGCCGGGGGTCGAGCATATGTATGTGCCAGCGACTATTATGCCTTTTCTGACATTTTATTAACTCATCAAAATGTTGGCTACCTGCTGGGCGGCGAGTGGGGGAGGGGAGGGGGGGTGGCGAAAAAGGACAACACACGTGAGAAAATTAATTTGATTATATTGCCACAGAAACGCGCAGCAGGACTACAGAGCTGACTTGAAGCAGCCGCCGGAACAAAGGACTTGCTTATCCGCATAATCAGCTGTTGTTAGGGCCGCTAGCCGGCTACTTAACGACAATAACGCCGATGTGGCTGAGGGCTGAGGACAACTGCAACCCCCAGCAGCAGCAGCAGCAGGAGCAGCGATGACAGGTCCTTTATGCGGGCAGTCCCAGCAGCGCTGAATGCACTAAATGATGTGCATAAGTGTGAAAACGTTTTGGTCCTGCCCTCCAGCCTCCAGCCTGCCTGCCAGCCCGCTGCTTGTTGTTTGCCTTGATTGACGCTGATAGGGCACGTGTTGGCAATTATTTTAGAATAAACATGAAAAGTGTTTTTTTATTATTTATGCAGCATTCTATGTTTTGTGGATAAATCAGATGACTTCTAGCTGTGCACGATTGCGAAGCTATGAGGTTCCTTTGTCCAAAATTTGTGCACTCATTTGTTGTTGAAGAAAGCTGAACGCTGAACGGAAATTAACTTTATAGTTACCTCATAAAATTATGACTAGAATGAATAAACAGATTCTTCAACACCATTTAAGAAATGGAGGAATTCAGAAAACGAAACTCTACTTGTATTTACAAATTTTTGTTCAAGGAAGAACAACTTTCTAATTGGCAATTATTTATGATATAATATTTAAATGAATGAACAGATATTTCAAATGAATTGAGAGAGAGGAACTAGCATGTTGCTCCCAAGAGGAATTCAGAAGATAAAACTCTAACTACAACTAAAATTTTCAAACATTTTTGAAACCGCAATCATCTACAAAGGCTATATCTAAGCACAAAAATAAGGCCGTGATATGGACAGTATAATAACGATAAGTTTGGTATTGGCAAGATCTTTATGCTAAAACTAAGAAACAAGTTTTTACTATACAAGAGTATCTTAAAGCCTACCTGGCAATACTTATGACATTCAGTTCTGGTGCTGGCGATCACCAGAGCTCATCCTTTCATCACTAATAAGGAACTTGCTATTTCAGTATAGACAAAAAAAAGTACTCAGCACAGGATATACGAAGCAGCTCCCTGACCATGGAAATAAACCGTCCATAAATTATTTCGAGCAGAAGACTGAAGAAACTAAACTCTTTAGACATGCCCTAAATAACTATCTATCTATCAATAAAACTTAACCATTTCTAAATCTACATTGCAAGTTAGCTACAACTTTCTTAATTGATTAATTCTTAATTCTTTGAATTGTCAAGGTGTTGTTATTAAAATAAATGAAAGGGAACAGGTAGATAATACGCAATATCGCAATCACAAAACTTCGCTGTTCCCCATTGATAAGACCAATATCATTTTAACCATGTTAGAAAGTAGTCTGCGTCTTTATCAATTAAATACATAAATAAAATAAATAATAATGACTGCAAAAGTGTCACCTTATTAACATATTTTCCCTAGATTAAAAAAAACTTTGATATTTCTAAATTTTATTGTAATTTTTCTTTAAACTGATATTATTTTAAAAATATTCCTCCGACAGACTTGAGCTGGAGTGAGATTTCGTTTCATTTAATTTTGAGCACTAAATTTTTAGATATGTCTTCCACTACTATTATTATTTACTTTTAATAATCAAAAATTGATCAATTGAAAAAAAATACTTGATATTTCTAAATTGTATTGCAATTTTTCTTTAAACTGATATTGGTTTAACAATATTTCTCCGATAGACTTGAGCTGGAGTGAGATTTCGTTTCATTTAATTTTGAGCACTACATTTTTAGATATGTCTTCCACTAGTATTATTATTTACTTTCAATATGTGACCAACTTTTCATAGAGTGACCCGTCCAGCTTGGCCCATCTTGCTACAATTGCTTCTTTTAATTTGTTGACGGAACTATACTATACTATGTCATTCCTGCATGTTTGCATACTATTTTACTAAAATTGTAAATTATTTTACTTGGCATTTGATCAGCAATTCGCTCACCTTTTGCATTTCAAGAATGCGGAAACACCATCGGGTATGTCAAAGGTAATTTGGATTAGTTTCGTCATGCTGATCATATAAAAAAATCTAACATGACTGCTAACTGATATTAATGCTTGATGTTTGGAGCACCTCATGACCATCCATTAGATGCTGCTGCTGCAAACCCTATATGTGAATCTATTAAAGAGCTTTGCACAGAATCGGCCTAACAGCAGCAGTCAAAGAGCAAGAAACCAGCACTATCAGAGAAAAATGTTGCAGCATGTCCTAAATTTGGCAAATAACACAAAAATTGGAGCGAGGAAACGAAGAAACTGATATGGCCA